GTATTAATTTATCTCTAAACCCAGCATTTTAAATTCTCAGGAACGATCATTGCGGGAAAATTGTGGGCCGGGACTACGATTTTTGAACGATCGATGCGATAAAACGATAGTTCGAGGAACGATAGAAGCGGGAAAATGTAACATTATTTTATATGGGATGTATTCGGGACCGAACAAAACGGACGATGCATCCGGGAAAACGATAGTTCCGGGAACGATGGATAGAGGTTTCACTGTACATGAATCCTATTTTCCTTGATTGTAGTTTTCCTGTACAACTAAAATATTTATCCACATAAGTCATAAGAAATTCTGTTACTGAAAATAAATATTAATTTTAGAAGACTACTCAAAACATGTAGTTTGTTTAGTATAATCAGTTTTGCTTCTTAGTGGTGTATCTGTTCACATGTGATAAAATTAGGTATGAATTTTGCAACAAATATTCTGTCACATTTAGTCCTGCTGGCCATCCAAGAATAATTCTATTCAGAACTGAAAAGTGAAAAAGCTTGTTTCAGTCTAAAAGACAATGGACTAGTGGCAGACTTTGGTGAATATGGTAATGAACCTTCAAGCTCCACGAAAATATTGAGAATTTCTTGACCATCTGAGCAAGAAGGACCCTGCTACGTAGTTACTTAGCTTAGCCTGTCAAATATTAATCACTTCCATAACCTTTCTTCTATACTGAGAAACAGAAACCTTAGGCAACAGAAGACATCATTACCCCATATGTGCTGATATCCCATATTTTTAAAATATAAGTCCACAGGAAGAAGATTAGGCAGAATTTTTAAAGGACAGGATTCTCAGATAACCTACATTAAGCAGAAACATCTCAGGAAGAAGAAGATAAGGATTCTGTTTTGCAACACAACTAATTAATGGTATGCAGAACTCAAAATGTAACAGCATAAGTGTTTTCTAGTGAATACTAATTAACTCCCTGGTAGCAGAAACCACAGGTCCCACACCAACACCAAAGCCTGCCACCAGAAATGATCCTGTGTCAACTCCATCCATTTACCATCCTCACAGCCCACCTCCCTAAGATCCATCTCGATATTATCCTCCCATCACTTTTTTGGCCTGCCCAGTGGTGGTTTTCCAAAACAATTTCCTGCCAAACTTCTGTATGCACCCCTTGTATCCCCCCCAACCCCATGTGTGCTACAAGTCCAGCCCATTACAGCCTCCTAGATTTCACCATCCTCACTATGCTATGTGACCTGTACAATTCACGCAGCTCCTCATTATGTAATATTTTAAATTCCCCACTTATTTCGTCCTTCTTGGGTCCAAATAACTTTCTAGGCACCTTGTTTTCAAACACTTGTAATCTATGTTCTTCCTTCAAGGTAAGAGACCATGTTTCTTGGTCAAACAAGACAACGAGCAAAATTATTGTTGTATATATCTTAATTTTTATTGTTGTTCTAATATATACTGCAGACTAAAAATTAATGTCATTCATATTCTTATTAGACAGCTTATCTGTAAAAGGTGACATAAGCAGCCATACTGACATACTGTTTGTGACTTTAAAAAAGCAAAGGTTCTGAGCAATAAGTGAGGAAAGGTATGAGTTCGGTAAATTTTTAAAATCTATCCATTCACAAATGCCACAATTTCTAATACAAAACAACCGAGTGTGAGTTAGTGTCCTTGCAGACCACACTTTAAAGCCGTAAGTTCTAACATTTTTAATAGTATCTGCCAAACATTTTATAATGAAGGTAGGAGACACTTTAGTAACTGATTCATGCAAAACCTTGACTTGCATATTTGTTTAAGCTGTAAAACAAACACTGTATTGAGGGAGTGATCAGGTAGTCCTAATTTCAACATAAGCCCATCATTTCAGTGAACCAACATCAAATTCCAAAGCAAAGGCAAACTCTTAAGTATGCCTGCCTTGAATGTCAACGTATTTCAACCAGGATTACAACTATAGGTATCACATAAAAACACCTATCACCAGGGATTGAAAAACTGTGCCAAATTAAAAATAAATTCACTATCCAATACCTTTTAGAAAAGTTTCATTTGTGACTGTAAACAGACTCTTAACACTTCTCTAAACAAATTATTTAAAGCCTGTATTAATTTATGACAGGATTTTTAGGACTAGAATAGTTTTTTCATCATTAGTAACTTTTCCATAACCCTACTGAACGTCTCAATGCAGTTGTTTTTCTAACATATTTGTAGCCCCAATGATGACCAGGATATGAAGGAATGATACTAGAACAGAGCTATTCAAAGATGTTCTATTACTGCTTCAGTTCAAACCTGAAATGAAGAACAGAATAAGAAGGTAACAGAACATGTGCTACCTAGTATTAGAATAATGGAAAGATGTTATGATGAAATTCTGTATGGATACCCAAATGTATACATTAGGGTAAACAACTAATGAATGCCAGAATTAAAAAATTACTTTCACTACTGAAACAGTTAAACTTGAAGCATTTCATCTGGAAGAAATTAATTAAAAGCTACATTAAACCAACAATATAACTAGATACAAAAGCCAATGAATACCATTATAAAACTGATTAAACCAACCTCAGAAGTCAATGAACATTCTTAAACTTGCAAAAACCTTGAAGCATCTGCAGCCACATCAATACAACATTCCACACATACGAGGAATACTCACAAAATATAACAATTCATAAGTGCAGCTACATCAAGGCTCCATTCCACATATACAATGGAGAACAAGGCAATCGAAGAGTTAGTAATTAAAAATTGTCATGATTAAGTACATTGTAAGTAGGAGTAATTTACAACAAAATTAAAACGATGCATCATTAATTCTAGATGTAGAGTGGATCAAAGAGGTTTGAAGCCATACTGGCATTGCAATATGTGCACTGGACGAAGTAGTCAAGGAATACAGAAATATGATGTAGCATGCATAAAGGGGTTGTATAATGTACAATACCATTTCAATTAATTTTAAAGGGAGTTTAATGTTTTACGCAACTGATTCAATCTTTCTCAACAATGACTATTTTACTCATTTATCTTAATTCATTTATTATGTATTTTTGAACCAAATATGTAAATGTTGTACCACTGATAATGGCCCTATAGAGCTGAAACAAGCCTGATTATGTAAATACAAGCAAACAGTAAGTTAAAGTAGTTGGCTCTTATAATATTTGTATGTATTACTGCACAGTATGCAAGGTTTTAAGATTAGATGGAATACTTGAATATTCTGATGTCAGAATATGTCAGTGTTTAGTTAAGGTTCACTTAGCTTAGTACTACTGGATGAATGAAACAAATGATTACCTTTCTACTCTTGCTTCAGGGCCTGTGACTTGGTTGCCCATTTCTGTATTGCCAAGCTGACCAGTTCACGTTCTTCATATGCCCAAGAAATTGTAACAGATACAAAACAAATGACACCAACTCCCAGGTGAAGTAACTTAAACCACTCAAAGAACAGTGCCTGCAAATTAAAACAATTGTGGAGTGGTTTTGAAAATGAAACAAATTTATTCCTATATATTTCGTGCTTCACCTAAATATATATCTTACCATATCACGATGTTAATTAAAGTAGTAATATATGGTAATCTGTTAGTGAACTGTCTGTGGTTGAAATCATAAACCATGCGAGTTTTTATAAAACGTTTTGACCTTAATTACCAATATCACTACCTTTACTACATTGCTTCCAGCATTTTTAGTGCACAATAAACAAGTATATAAAAGCATTCAGTATTGAACAGGACACAACATTTAAAAATCTAGCTTACATTTAAGCACAAAAAATTTCTTATTCCCCCACCCCAAAGATGTTTCCAGTGTAAGGAATTTGTGACAACCAAGCCCATCCATAAACCTCTATATTCTCACAACTCTCAAAACCACTTCAGTTCAGTTCTCAAAATTAACAATTCAATGACCACTAAGAAGAGTTATTATTTAAAGAACAGCTCACATCTTAGAAGAGTGAGCGGTGATATATACCATCCAAATCCCAAATGCCATGAAATCTTCACAGAACAGTGTTCAAGGAATCTGGTGGTACCAAATTATGGAAAAACAATTCTGAGGAATATTTCCGAGACTATAATAACCTACAGATACCAAGGGTAATTGGTACTTACCTGTGATATCTGGGTGATCATAAATACTGATACTAATGTGATCAGAAAATATGGGCCAGGGATGAGCCCTCTGAGCGGCTTAAACTCTGTGTTAAGATACTGGATTTGAATAAACTGAATGCTGAAAATTCAAATATAAAATTATAACTTGCTTGCAGGTATAGAGAATTGTGCTGGTAGTATGAATAAATTAAATCCATTATGGAAAAAATAGCTGTCTCTGATTTATCATCTTAATCTTTCTTCTTTGCTATTGAGACTACTCTACTATATAAAATGGAATGTAAAGTAGGGGAAACAAAATGTACCTTACCTATGTCCAATCCTAGCTGCCATGTTACAGCAATTGGCAACAATAAAACCAACACCACCAAAAGCTTTTGTCAGTAACCAGGAAACTACAAGAAATGATACTGACAGTATTGCCATTAAGTAGTTATACCTGCAAATATCAACACAATGATTTACATTGGAATCTAACTATAACATTGTTTATACAGTGAGACTGCATAACAATGAGATTCTACCAAAATAGCAAGGCAATATTCTTGAATCCAAGAAAGATCCATGTTATACCAGAATTCTCTGGACAATTCAGAGTGTGTGGTCCCAAAGTACTATTACACAGATCTACTCTCCCTCAGAATATATGTGTGCTAGTTTTTGCACCACTTTAGACAACTGATATCTCAAATGTCTTTTATCTTACAATCAAAACTTTACTCCATTACCTAGTACCTACAACATTGCTATACCTTGTATTGCTGTATTAAGACATAGCAAAATTTTCTATACATATACTTCTTACTTGCCAGATACTGCAACTGCAGTGACATGTCCTGAAATAAGTGAAATTTGTCACTTCATAACTAATAAACATACATATACTGACTTCAGCTCTTATCAATGGATTGTATGTTTACATCAAGAAAATAAAAATATGAACAAAGAAATTGAAATATTCAGACATTTTTATGTAATGAATATTACAGCACATGACAGCTCTATCTTGCATGCATGATTAAAATTTACTTACAGGGAACACATTTATCAACATGTTTCAGGAACTACTACTGCTTAAAATATATTGCTAGTACATAAATTTTGTATACTGTTCTTCAGCATAACAAATTTACATTTTTGTAAAGGGTGATACAGCAACTCACTTATCAAGCTGAGCAGCGTTCATAGTTGCAAAAGCATAGCACTCTGTAATTCCATTAATAGCCAGTAAGAGGACAGCTAGGCAATGTGTCCTCATTAGTGTAGGGCCAGGACCCATGATGAGACTTTCACCACCATAGAGGTACAGCAGGAAACACGAATATGACTGGCCAAATACCAGTATCACCAGTCCAATACAAGTTATGCAGCGAAGTAATTGGTACAGCACATTGGCAGCCTCTGCCATGTGTTTCTGTGAAAGGAACTGAATGTGTCAACCATATTTTCTATGTAAGATTTGAGGTTTTCACAGTGGTGAGTATGAAGATTTCTATCTTCTGGGTTGTTGCGCTGTGTAGACTGGTTGATGTTAACCAACGTTTCAGAGGTCATACTGCCTCCGTCATCAGGGCGATGAATATTCAACGTTGGTTAACATCGACCAGTCTACACAGCGCAACCCAGATGACAGAAATCTTCACATTTTCTATCTACAATTTTAGAAGGAAAATTCCTATATTTCAAGCTTTTACTTTTGCTGAAGACTTAGTGAAGCAATTATTAATGCCAGGATGGCAAAGGATGATAAATACAACAGACTTTTCAATAACTACCCTAGCATTCTGATAGAGGCTGAAATAAAGCAAGAAAACCTCAGACAAATAACTTCATCCTAGGATTTGATCAGATTATATGAGCACATAACAGATAAACAGTTGGGTGAGCCATGATCAGGGACATAATATTATAGAAGTGGAAATACTTGGAATTCAGTCTTGAATGAGTATTACCATAAATGAAAAAACAACAAACACACAACAGAATCCATACTTCTGACAGTATTTCACTATCAAAAGGAATTAAACATAATGAAAACTCATGCAGAATTACTCATATAGCTTCTGACAATCCCTTGAAGCCAAAAGTCATCTTAATAATATTCAGTACCTGCCCCCCAAAAAACAAAACCTATGTTCAATATAAGAATAAAATGGTTAATACTGCTTCAGGAAATAATCATTGTTTACTCTGAGAATCATATGAAATCCATAAATACACTGTGGGCAAAATGCAGGTGGTACATATAGTTCCCAATGGGCTTTAAAGGGTTAACCTGCAACCGAAAACTGAACTGCTAGTACTACACACTTTCAAGAATCATGGATCCAGAGTTATATTTCTGCAAATGAGCTTTCCTTCAACATTATTGAGAAGCTGACTAGGTACAGTTCATAAATATCAGAATAAATAAAATATCAAGTTTCCTTAATAGGCACGGTAAACAAGACAAAAAATGATGCAGGTAACATCAACAGGGAGAAATAGCTGCACCTGGTTCTGCTCTTGTATTGTTGTATCTCTTGCCACCATCTGTGAGAAATAGAAGTATGCTGATTCCTCTATTGGCCGAAACAGAAAACGGGCTGCTAAAGACCCCAAGTTGTTGACAATGTCATATACACCCTGTTCAGAGAACGTTAGCACGGAGAAGAGTGTCATGATGTACCTCTCACCTTCCGTCAGAACCTGCTTCATGATGCCTTGTTTGAAGAAGCTCCATGTTAGCCTTGAAAGGCCATAGTTGATGCTCAACTGTTGACAGAAAACAAAGTGTGTTGTCATCTAGTTCTTGCTAAGAAAATTCACTGTATATGTAACATCCAATCCTCTGACAGTGTTCTTGCTTTTTCTACTATCCAGTGTCACATCATATAAATTCTCCACCCACCTAAGTAATGGTAACTGTAAAGACAAATAAATTAAGTAAAAACTCACAACATGAATTATAAAAATATATCATTTTCTAAAGTTTGACCAACACAAAAAGCTGCTAAATTCCTAATCCTGAAATTCTCTCTTACTTACATACATACATACTGAAGAAGTGCCTACATGAAAATTAATTTATCATACACCAAAGGAAAATTCATACTACATCAAAAGTCATCAGCAAAGCAAACTTCTAAAACACTTATTACATAATTCAAGGATAGGGGTTAAAAACTCAGAAATGTGAAGAAAAACTACAAGCATTATTTAAGATATCCAACATAAGGATAAGGCACTACTAGGACTGAAAAATTTATAGCGTTCATGCACTGTGAAATTTTCAAATTGTTTACATATATTCATGCTTATAAAATTGCAATAGTACAATAAAATCATGTCATGCCTTATCAGACTTAAAACTGTTTTTACAGTAAATAAGTTCATATTTAGATATTTGTAACAATGTGTCACACCTGATCTTCTATTTTTGCAGGAAGGAAATCCATTAAAGATTCAAATGGGAACTCATCCTCAATCTCTGCAATGGAGTCTCTACGAACAAACCTCAGATTCACTGGGGGCTTTCCATTTGAATCAATCATCTTTTGTGCAGCACGTTTCTTCATTAGTTTGGTAATGTAGTAATGGAAATACACATAATGTCCCACTGTGTACACACATGCTGCCAATACCTGTGTCAAAACACTGCATGTATATAACCCTCACTCTGAGAACACATCACACAGTTATTTAATATATGAAGTGAAGAACCCATGTCTTAATCTGACATAGCTGGGATAGAACAGTTAAAATATATGGAAATTTAGTATGCATGAGGGAAGCAAGCAGTATCCAAAATTTTGATTGGGAAACATCATGGAAAGGGTCACTTAGGAAATAAAGGCTTAGACAGAAGGATAATATAAAATGGAGTCAGGGATACAAACAGGCTGTGGCAATGTGTACTGGAATAAGATGGATCAGAACACAGTTCTAACATACCTTCGTCACAACATTAAATTTAATTAAAGTTTAATAAGAGCAAATGTTCATTTAGTGTGTACTTTTAAACATAAATCTATCAATGTAAATTATCCTATGCTACATCACATGTAACGAAACTCAGTAATAAGAAAAGAAAGCAGAAACAACTTATGTACTATGTTAATTTCATATATCTGGGCACGTATATGAAGAAATTACAACTATAACACAATACACAACTCACAAGAGACTACACTAAAGCAAAAGCATTAAATAAGAGACCCCAAATGTCAAACATAAATTTCATAATAATGTAATAACAAATGCAGAGTCACTTGAAATTAATTTATTCATACTGAAAATGCCATGCCAAGCATGGCCACAATTCTTCTCAATAATGTGATTAGTGATGTAGCTGCTATACTTGTTTCTCTTACCTGGGCAACAGAGAATGCTACAACTGCTTGGTGTGGTTGATAAATGATGAGTGGAGTAAATGTTGCCGTACGAACAAATATATGGATTGTATCTAAAACCACCTGAAAGAATATTACAAAATTATCAACAAAAGAGGAAAATTCTAGGATGAAAGAATTCAGTACCTTACATATATAAGTGACATGTTTCTTCATAAATTATAAGTTAAAAACAAATTATTTACTCAGCTGGTCGAAAATTTCTTGCTTCTGTATAACCCAAAGATTTATCAATGAGTTCACTTGCAGTAATAATTTAACCTATCCTGGCATAGCTTAATTCTGTTCACAACTTCAATAAGATACAATTTAATATTATCATTAC